CAGGGGCCAGGCCCTCAGTCAGTACCTCTCAGTATTAAATATGGTCAGCAGGGGCCAGGCCCTCAGTCAGTACCACTAAGTATTAACTATGGTCAGCAGGGCCCAGGCCCTCAGTCAGTACCTCTCAATATTAAATATGGTCAACGGGGGCCAGGCTCTTAGTCAGTACCTCTCAGTATTAAATATGGTCAGCAGGGGCCAGGCTCTCAGTCAGTACCTCTCAATATTAAATATGGTCAACGGGGGCCAGGCTCTTAGTCAGTACCTCTCACTATTATATATGGTCAGCAGGGGCTAGGCCCTCAGTCAGTACCACTCAGTATAAATATGGTCAGCAGGCGCCAGGCCCTCAGTCAGTACCTCTCAATATTAAATACTAAAACTGAAATGGGAAACTAGTCTCAAAATTTACTCTGTAGTTGTCTGTATACAAGAAAGAAATCTCCAGCTGAGGTAGCGATGGAAGGAGTCCTATGCCCCAGTCCACAAACTAGAAGTTTTGGGTGTAAAGTATGCCAAGCATTACTGAGGAATCTAGGTGATTCTCCCTTGAGATGAGATACCAAGGAGCGAATGAGCTGTTGTCATGGCAGGGAGAGCTAGTGTCTGCTCCATACAAGGTCATTTTAAGGATATTATTTTGCATGTCAAACTCCAAGGAGAGGGCTATATTTTTTGCTGGTGATAAAATTAATGTAAATAGTGGTGATCTGGATGGAGGGGCTCCTGGCAGTTGGGTTGTTTGTTCTGACACAAAACAGGAACTTCGAGTTACCTTTAGCTAAAGAAGATAACCCCACACCCTAATTAGAAAAGAGGTGTGCTATCGAGGAACATTAGCCTCTATTTTGTAGGTATGGCAGCATTTCAGCTCATGTGGATTTCTATGTCTTTTAAAGTATTCTCTAACATTTTCCGGAAATAAAATTCTGTGAGAGAAGATTGCTATCATCTTGGGTCAAAATACTTTTATTAATTACTACCTTTCATTAAAGACCCAATCTTTGCCAAACACTGCACTGGGCGATTGATAAACATCACATATACCCCTAAGTCCTACATGATAGGGCAGACTGACTTTACAGATAAAAGGTGTGTAATTTTCTCAAGTTTACAAGGTTGGTAAATGACAGACCTGGACTAACATTGGTTTTGAATTTCTGTAGTGTCCATACTGTTCCCTAGCCTGAAGCAGACTTTGTGTCCTTTATTTATTCTCTTCTCACTATAAAATATATTTCAGATAATAAAAGACAAGACTTGGGTACAGAGGTACCCAAGATACTGTTCTGGAATACATAGCCCAACAGGCAATACATAGCCCAACAGGCAATAAAAATACCAAAACAAATGTGAGATGTGAATAAAGAAAGATATGTTTGTTGACAATATCATTATCTACAAAGTGTCAGAAAATTCAAAAAATTAAGGCCTCACAAAATCAATTGGCACAACCTCTTCCCTGTAGAGCAGGCGTCCTCAAACTACGGCTCCCAGGCCACATGCGGCCTGCCTGGGACATTTATCCAGCCCACCGGATGTTTTTGCCACCGCTGCCTGTCCTGCTCAGAGGCCAGCTCATCCTAGGGCCCACAGTCCGGCCCGCCAATGATCTGAGGGACAGTAAACTGGCCCCTTGTTTAAAAAGTTTGAGGACCTGTGCATGTAGAGTAGGTATATTTGAATAACAGTTACATAAGAGGCAAAGTCTGGCTAGTGATGATACAGTATAGATCAGCATTTTTTCCCCCTGAAAACCCACTTGTCTTGGGCTTTCTGTTTTCTGCTTCAGCTTATCCATCTTACATCACTCTTAGGACACAGCCTATTCCTTGCAAGAATTTAGAGTGGTGTGGCATTTCCATGGAAGCCTCTCATAAGAAGTGTAGAAACCAAGATGAAGACTCTGATGAATGAGAAGTGAAGAGAAAAACACCCCATAATAAATGGAGTCACAGAGATCAGCCTGTGTCTACTTCCAGACCTGGAAGGCTGAAGCAAAGCTGTCAGCCTATCCCTTCACTTACTGTTCAGTGTTCTAATGGGCATGAGAACCTTGGTTAACATGGGTGATCTGATATTGAAAGAAAGGGGGAACCCTGGGTCTGTCTGCCCTGAGTAAGGATGGGGGGCACACTCTTACCATGATCACAGAGATCCCCAAGGAGTCAGAATTTTAAAGTCATCTCTGAGAATGTAAAATCAGGAGTAGCCTCATCTGGCATTTCTTGATTTTCCTTCTGGGGCCTCAGGGAGTGATTTGAGACTTAGGACAATATACAGAGGTATTTTATTCCCTGCTAGGAATCAAATGCAGAACAATGAGTGATGACTGAAGGGACCACAGAATCTAGGACAATGAAATGGCACAGAGCTTGCCCTTGCCATCAACTCTGGGAGGCCTTGGGCAGAGTTTTAAGGCTGACTTCTGCAAGAAGGATCTCAGAGATGTGAGGGCCTTGGTCTGGGGGGAGGGTTCTCAAGTCAGTAAAAGAAGGAATCCCAGGCCCTGTCAGGAGTCAAGGTAAGGGTCTTGAGTAGGGACACAGAGAACCCTTCTCTCTCAGAACGGAGAGGACCACACAGGTCTCCACCCTTACTGGTAGCCCCGGGATACTTGGGCATTGTTGACATAATGTGACACATTATGTGTCACAAAGGGGAAGGGATTTGGTATAAGGGTTATGACCTAAAGTCAGCAGTGGGAAGATTTCCAGACTTCTAAATGCCACAGTCAGTAAACTGAGAACTAGGAGAACACCACACCCCATAGATCTCCAACAACGGGAGGACGGGAGTAAGAACATCACAGATTTCATTCCTTGCATTCAGCCTTGGCAGGTTAAGGACAGGTAAGGACAGATGAGAAGTCCTTGATAACCTCTTAAGGGGTGTGTTTCGAGGTAGTTTTGTCCTTAGTATTAGGGGTTGGGTTTCAAGGAAAAGGAGAAAGGAGTTCCAGCACACGCCAGGGGTCAAAGCGAGTACTGAGGGACCCATCCACCGTTACATAGAAGGGATAAAAAAGAATCTGGCCCCACTCTGGTTTCAGCCCTTAAATACCAAGAGCAGGGATGTCAAGCTAAAGCCATCCAGCACTTCTTTGCATCAGGCCTATGAAAAGTGAGATCTTTAATCTGAAGGTGCAGCCACCATTCAAATGAAGTGAGTAAGGGTCCCAGGTTCTCTGTGCTAAAGTAAAGACCCTGATTGAGGACTGAGGACTCCAAGGAGGCTAGGATGGAAAATTCCCCCTGAGAAGTCAACACTGTATGCATGTGGATAGCAGTGATAAACTGTGGACATCCTTCCCTTCAGTTTTATAGTTCCCAGGGAGGTTTGTAATGTTAACTTCAGAACAGCAAAGGAAATAGTTCCCATGACCTGCCAGTAGTTAACATGACGGTCTTGGATATGAAATAAGAGGACCCTTCAGCTCAAGAATGTGAGCCCCTGCTGTCACCCTAGGATGTTTGAGGCAGGGCTGACAGGCTACAGCTTAAAGCTCAATCTAACTTCCTCCACAGGTTTCCCAAAGGGACTGCTCATCAGGAAAACAGGAGCCCAGTGGATTTCTAGAGCATTTACCTCACAGAAAACTGCAAATGTAAAATTCCTTTTAACTGTGGTGGAATTTCCATGTTGAAAGTCCACACATCCTTTCAAGCTCCCTAGTCCAGTGGGCCCTTATCACCTGTTCCCTTACCCTATACTTCAGCCTGCTGTCCTTGACCAGAGTCATCATGCCTCGGGGACAGAAGAGAAAAGTGTGCAGCTGTGAGGACAGCCACCAGGCCCGAGATGGCTCTCAGCGTCGCAAGAGAGCTCAGATTAGAACAATGGAAGAAGAGGCCCCCTCCACTTCCTCTTCTCTTTTGGGTGATATTCCCCAAGGCTCATTTGCTGCTGGGCCAACTGGCACTTCCCAGGAGCCTTGGAGGTTACCATCCACCACCATTACTACTCCAGGCATTTTTGACACAAGATCTCATGAAGATAATAACAGCCAAGATGATGAATATCCATGCTCCCTGGTCATCTCATCCTCCACTGAGAACTTGTGCAGTGACACTTTAACTATAAAGGCACGTTTGTTGGAAAAGTTCCTGCTCTATAAGTACAAAATGCATCAGCCCATTACAAAGGAAGGCATGCTGAAGGTTATCGATAATAAACACCATCATCAGTTTTCTGAGATCCTCAGGAGAGCTGCTGACCGCATTGAGGCCACCTTTGCAGTTGAGCTGAAGGAAATTGACTCAGATGGTAACTTCTATGAACTTGTCAGCAAGCTGAAACTCCCCAACAATGGGAGGATTTATGCTGGCAGAGGGTTACCCAAAACTGGTCTTGTAATGACTCTCCTGGGTGTGATCTTCATAAAGGGCAACTGTGTTTCAGAGGAAGACATTTGGGATTTCCTAAATAAGATGCATATATATGCTGGGAGAAAGCACTTCATCTACGGAGAGCCAAAGAAGCTCATCACTCAAGATTTGGTGAGGCTGCAGTACCTGGAGTACCGCCAGATCCCCAACAGTGATCCTGCGCGCTATGAATTCCTGTGGGGTCCCAGAGCCTGTGCTGAAACTAGCAAGATGGAGGCTCTGGGATTTCTGGCCAAGATCCATGATGCTGTTCCCAGTGCATTCTCATCACGATATGAAGAAGCTTTGCAAGATGAGGAAGAGAGAGCTCAAACCAGAGCTGTAGCTGGGCCGAGTACTACCATAGGGGCCGGGCTTGTCTAATGGCTAAGTCTAGCAGTTTCTCCCAGTCTTATTGAAGTCTGAGTGTTTTTCATCATCCAGATAAGAAAATACAACATCACAGCAGGGACTTTCTTGGAAGTGTGAACGAATTCCACAGATGGGGGAATGTAATGAAAGAAACAATAAAGCATGGTCGATCCTGATTTTCCTCATTCCTTTTAGTCTTTTGTTTTGGAAAGTTAAATCATTTATACCTCAATATATTGGTGTAGGTTATCAAACATGTCAGGGAAGTTAAATTGTAATAAGTTAGAACTCTTGCTCACTATGTCTCTTAATCTCCAAACATCTATTTAGTATCTGTTTTGGGGGAAGTTTTGTACTGGTATTGAAGATGCTCAGGTAAAGACTCAAATTCTACCCATAGCATTTTCAAAGCCAGGAGCTATGATTACATAAATGTTGAGACACCCTCTGTAACTTACAAGAAAGTAGGAAAAAATGGGTGAGCAGGGGTATTGTAGGTGAGGGCAGAAACATATAAATTTTCCAAGGCAAAGAAGTTTGAGTTTTGGGGAAACTGCTCGTCGGTCTATGTGGTGCAGCTTTCAAATTAAGCTGTGTTGGGAGGTGAGGGAGACTGTGGGACTGGTGAGAAAAGGCCAGACCTTCAGATGATGCCTTAAAGTCAAGAGAGAAAACTCTGGAATGGAAAATTTCTACTGTAATGTAAGGCCTAACATTATGTGCTAGCTACCTTGATTTCTTTTTCTTACCTTGATTTTCATGAAGCCGGAAGGGCCTAACTGTAAATTCTCCCCTGCACTTGCAGATAAGGTCTCCTAGTCAAACAGCCAGCATTATGAAGGGGACCAGGCACAGACTTTGCTTATTCCTAAGTATTGAGTTTCTATCCACTACCAGCCCTCAGTTTGGTAGCCTCACCGAACCTCACCCCCCAACAGCTTCATTTAAAAGTTGCAACATATCCAGCAGCACCTGTGGGTATGGCAAAAGGGTAGGGCACTGGTCCCATATGCCAGAAGTGGCAGGTTCAAACCCAGCTCTGGCCAAAAACTGCAATAAAATAAAATAAAATAAAATAAATAATAAATAAAAGTTGCAACATATCGACTGACTTGCCAGTTTCCCCAAAACTCAAGCCATTTACCTCTTCCTTTGGGAACTAGAGGTCATATCTCTCTTGATTCACAAAACCTATTTCCCACAGACCTTCCTTAGTCCCTCTATTCCTAAGTACAATCCCTGTGTGGCCATGTGTGGCATGTGGTGTCCTTCTAACCCAGGCTTTAAGTAGGAGTAGCGTCATTTCTTGGCCTTTTGGGTAACAACAAGTGAGTATATATGTGCTTAATAAACTGCTGTTCATGTCATCTGTACAGTTTTGTGAGTTTGGATACCACTTAGCCATGGTGTGGAAATTCCTCTCTCAGCAATTAAATAAATAGAAGGCCATTAGAATGTGCTTTTATGAATTAGTTAGGAATAATACAGAAATAAATCTCTACTTAAAGTCATGTATTAGTTTGTTAAAACTGTCATTAAAAAAAAAAAAAACCATAGGGTAGCACCTGTGGCTTAAAGGAGTAAGCTGCCAGCCCCATATACCATAGGTGGTGGGTTCAAACCCGGCCCAGCCCCAGCCAAAAACTGCAAAAAAAAAAAAAACAAAAAAAACCACCATACACGGACTGGGTGGCTTAAATACAGAAGTTTATTTTCTCACAGTTCTGGAGGCGGCTAGAAGTCCAAGATCAAGATTCCTGGGTGATGCAGACAGCTACCTTCCTGCTGTATCTTCATCTGGTAGAGAGAGAGGGAGTGCAAGCTTTCTGGATATTAATTCACAGAGGCCCCATCCTCATAAATTCATCTAAACCTAATAATCCTTCAAAGGTCTCACCTCCTAATACCATCACATTGGGAATTGGGATTTCAAAAAATAAATTTTGAAGGAGCATAAACATTCAGTCTATAACAGGGTTTACCAAACTCAATGGCAGATGAAGAACTTACAATATTCTCATACTTACAAAGTGGTGATAGAGCTAGACTAGACCCCTGCTCTGAATTCTTCCAGGGTGGCACACACTGTTTGAAGTATCTTTATTAATTTTTCTTCTCACTACCTCCAAATATATCTCAAGTAACTATAAAAGAAGAGAGAAAGAGATATTTTGTGCCAAAAGTAGTGTGTTGGAATACATATCCAGAGTAGTTAGAATGCCAAAATAAATGAGAGGTTTGAATAATGAAAAGAAGAAGATAATATTCATTAACATTATAACTTTCTCTATATGCAGTGTCAGTCTCAAAAGATCTCACAAAATTATCTGCCTCAATTCATTTCCTTTAGTAAGTACAACTTTCAGAAGTTACATAAAAGATTAAGTCTGAATGACTTAATGAAAGTCATTCTTAATGACTTAAGAAAAGTAATAGATCAATGTTTGTTTTCTGTGATAGCCACCTCCTATCCCAGGATTTCTGCCTCATTCTTCAGCTTCCCTATCTCACATCACTCTGAGAATTTACATCTATTCTATGCAAGATTTGAAGTAAGAAGACTGGCTCGGTGCCTGTGGCTCAAGTGACTAAGATGCCAGCCACATATACCTAAGGTGGTGGGTTCGAATCCAGCCCAGGCCCACCAAACAACAATGACAGCTGAAACCAAAAAATAGCCAGGCATTGTGGTAGGCGCCTGTGGTCCCAGCTACTTGGGAGGTTGAGGCAGGAGCCTCGCTTGAGCTCAGGAGTTAGAGGTTGCTGTGAGCTGTGATGCCACGGCACTCTACCCAGGGGGACAGCTTGAGGCTCTGTCTCAAAAAAAAAAAAAAAAGTAAGGAGACTATTCAAGAGTTTGCATTAGTTCGCAGTCCCACCAACAGTGTAAAAGTGTTCCCCTCTCTCCACATCTGCAGCAGCATCTGCAGCTTTGGGACTTTAATCTTATAGGGGTTAGGTGATAGCTTAGGGTGGTTTTGATTTGCATGTTCTGATGATTAGGGATGATGTGTATTTTTCATATGTTTATTAGCCATCTGTCTGTCTTTCTCTAAGAGAAGAAGTATGGAGAATCCTCAAAAAATTTAAATTAGATCTCCCATTTAACCCTGCAATCCCATTACTAGGCACCTACCCAGAAGAAAAAAAAATCATTTTACATTTTATCGTAAGAACATTTGCACTAGATTGCTTACTGTAGCTCAATTTATAATTACCAAGATGTGGAAACAACCTAAATGCTCATCAACTCAGGAATGGATTAACAAATTGTGGTATCCGCATATCATGAAATATTACTCAGCCATAAAAAAGATGGTGACTTACATCTTTTGTATTAACCTGGATGAAGTTGAAGCACATTCTTCTCAGTAAAGTATCAAAAGAATGGAAAAGCAAATACCCAATGTACTCAATACTAATATGAAGCCAGTAAATGATCTAACGTACATCCACATAAGAGAAAAACTCAAATCAATTCAAGTTGGGAGAAGGAGGAGGAGGGAGGAGAGGGAAAGGGGAAGGGAGGAGGAGGGGAGGAGGGGAGGGGGAAGGGTAGAGAGGGAGGAAGAGGGGGGCTGCTCCCACTGAATGGGCAAGGTGTATGGGTGTTTGGCACATCCTTTGAGTGCAGGACACAACTACAAGAAGAACTCTACCTAACAAATTCAAGTATTTTGACCTGGTTGTTTGTACCATCACATTAGACTGAAATAAAAAATAATAATCATAATGACTTAAAAAAACAAAGGAGTTTGCTGAGATGTGGCAATTCTCAGAAAACGTTTCCTTAAAGAGGCAGAAAGCAGGGATGAAGGCTAATTTAAATGAGTCAAATTAAGACTCCTCTTAAAAACTGAGGGAGCAGAGTACTCCAGAACAGAGGAGGCGCCAAAGATTTTGTCCCTGCTGCAAGCCTGCGGCAGCTTTTCATTGGCGCGTGACACTCACTTTCTTCGGAGACTCCAACCGAAGAGGGTTGCAGACTTTGCCTAAGGCAGGTGGCCTCAGCAAACTCAAGCAAGGAGTCCCAGACTGAAGCAGGAGTCAAGGTAAGAATCTTGGGAGAGAACAAGAGAACCACAGCCTCCAAAGTGTGCCCCAGGCCCTCTCCCCAATAACGCTGCCCCTCCCCCCTCCCCAGCTTCTTGGCCCTGCTCCCCACTTCTCTGTCCTAGGAAGCCCTGAGCAGACTAGGCAGGCTGAGACATGTGCCCATTTCTGCCTTAAGCTCTCAGAAAGGTAACGGCTTTGATAGAAGTGGGCACCCCTTCCCCCGCTTTCCCCGAGCCCCGGTCAGTGTAGAGAGAAGGGAACCCTATTAATAATCCAGGAGAGGAAACTTAGGTGGGAGGTCCCACCAAACTTCTTTGCCAGCCTCTCGAGGACCTAAATACGGAGATTAGATAACTATGAGCTCACCTTTCCTATTTGGTGATATCGGGGAACCAAGGGCTTCGGTCTGGTTGGGGGAGGGGGTCTGTTCAGCAAAAAGGAGTATTATGCGGGCGGCGCCTGTGGTTTAAAGGAGTAAGACGCTGGCCCCATATAGCAGAGGTGGCGGATTCAAACCCAGCCCTGGCCAAAAACTGCCAAAAGAAAAAAAGGAGTTCTATGCCCTTTGGGAAGTCAAAAGTGGACCTAGAGTGATTACTAAGGTGATCACTGCAAGAAGAGTGACAAAGCTCTCGGGCAGGGCTACCGAGCTGACTTATGCACGGAGGGTTACTGAAATGGGAGGACCTTGTTTTGAGAGAAGTGTCCTCAAGTCAGGAAAGGAAAGCTTTCCGGGTGCAGTCAGGAGTAAAAGTGGAAACCCTATGTGAGGACTGAGGGGATCCCCATGCAGCCTGAGGGGACCCCCACCCTCCTGAAAACCTGGACTGCCTGGACACTAGTGACGTGACTCGCGCTCATTTTCTGCTATCATATGGGAGAAGGTTGTTGGTGGTGAACAATTTTGTCCAAAGGGGATGGCCTAAGGTTGTCGCAGCAAGATTCCCAAGTATTTCTGTGAGTTAAGGTGAAAACCATGATGTCTGAGGCC